GCCCCCGCTATACCGCGCGTGGCGAATTAAAGCCACGATACGACCGCGCAGCCCACAACGAAGGGCTGAGGGTAATAAATTTACCGGATGGTGCAGGGAAATTGGTAAAAACACGACTTTAATCTTACATTAATTGTATAAAATTCTAAGTTCAGGTAAACAAGCAAAGTTTGTTTTTAATTATTACATATAACTATTAGTTGACGGATGTTACTCGTTTAATTTTTTCGATTCGAAGTTTACTGGGCCGCGCTCAGCCTCAAGCCTGTCATTCCGCCGAATTTATATGATTATGAACATATAATACACAAATTAAGTGCACAAGTAAGTAAGTAAATATTCCATGCTAGGCATGTAGCACCCATTACGGTACGGGTAACCAATAACCATCCATTGAGTTGTTGCTTTTTCACTTTGCATAGCAGCTCAGCGAGGTCCGCAGGGGTGCTGGGTGCATTTTGCCTATATCTAACGACAAACAAGGTGGCCTTACTTACGACGAGAAGCATTATTGGATCGATGCGCGGCAAGCTTGCTAGTTGCTACGAAGTATCCCGAAACGGGTTAGTCCATTATCATTTATAACAATAAACACATTGTTGTTGGCACTTGGCAGTTGGCTTGATACATGAATTGCATTTCGATCTTCGCGCACGATCCCAGGACACAGGAGCTCGCCTGTCATTCGTCGGCGTACACGCTTCAATATGCAATACTTGGCGGCGCTCAGCCTGTCATTCTACCGCACGCGCAGCAGGCAGCTTCATTCCTCCATAGCTCCATTCTCCAATGAGTATGTTTATAAATATTATAGCTTGTAGCACGATGCGTTACTGTGCCGCGCCGCGCATTCAATTATTGATTATGCTTCTTGCAACGCTAAATCGGTGAAATGCGCTACTGTGCCTCGCCGAGCTGCGATGAATTGACATCGTCAATTAACATTATAGCCTGTGCAGCAACAGTACACGCGCTTTAACCTAACCATGTTGCATGTGCTTTCGCGCCACTGCAGCGTGCAGGCGCGCTCGTTTCACACGGGAGGCGAGCGGAGAGGAGTTTAAAGATAAAATAGAGATAAGGATAAAATACATATATAAATAGATAAAGATAGCGATTAGAATATTAAATAGAGATTTTACAGCAATTTTACAAAAATGACACACATGGGCCACCTAATGATATACATGATAAACCTGCTAGCGCATGTGTATCAAAAAATTTTCTGACACACATACGCTACCTAGGAAGCGCATGTGTATCATTATTTTTTTTGACACACATGCGCTTCCATAATATACACTTAAAAGCTGTGCCTGCGTGAGACTTAATTTGTAATTCGGGACCTAAATTAGGTCTCAGGTCTCACGCGTGAGACCTACTTTCTCCGTTCAACCTAGTTACATCTTGTCATACGTTGTATGACCCGCCGCGCACGAGTGCGCGGCTCCCCCTGTATCGCGTGGAAACTCTACAGGGGTAGAGTACACTATAGTGAAACGACTTGCTCTATCCAGAGCCCTTGCGCTTGCAGTAGCGCGCGCCCGAAGTGGCGCGAAAGCACATGGTTAGGTGAATGAAACGACCGTGAGGGTCACAACGTGATACAAGTTACATCTTGGTGACAATATATATTTTCACATATGACATAACCATGTGCTTTCGCGCCACTGCAAGCGCAAGGGCTCTAGATAAAGCAAGTATATATTGACTGTCGTTTAATCCAACTCGGCGCGCGCGTCTTGGTAGAGTATAAACCTTCACCTAACCATGTGCTTTCGCGCCACTACGGGTGCGCTTGTTTCACAAGCGCGCCCGCCGTGAGGCGGGCGCACGCTACTGCAAGCGCATTGTATCACGCGGTGACCCCCACGGTCGCTTCACTATAGTGACGCTACATGGGGAGCCGCGCACTTCGTGCGCGGCGGGTCATACAACGTATGACAACAAGCGCAAGGGCTCTGGATAGAGCAAGTATAAACCTACAATTATATTATCAGTGTTTTTTACACTTATTTGTTAACCATGGGTTCCTAGATATTAAACAAATATTTGCACATACCTTATTTGTTATTCACCTGGGGACCTCAGGCTATCATGTATTCATAAACAAATGAATAGAGATAAGGCAGAATGACAGGCTGAGCGCGGCCCAGTAAATACCTTATCGGATCTTATTTGATCAGAGATTAAATAAACGTGGACGCGAATATAATTATGAACGTTCGAAGGTATTTTGTCATTGTTAATGGACTAGCCAAGCGCGCGCTACTTCGATCGTTGATTCACGATGTCAATCCTTCGCATCTCGCCGATCTGGTTGCGAGAAGCTCATTATTGGATGCGCGGCGCGGCCCAGTAGTGCATCGCGCTACAACTTCGATCATAGCACTTTACTCGCCTCCTGCCTCGGGCCATTTCTTGACCATTGTTAATGAGCTGGCCCTGCGCGCGCTTGTATCACGTGGTGACCCCCACTGTCGCTTCACTATAGTGTATCGTCTTCGACGATACAGGGGAGCCGCGCACTTCGTGCGCGGCGGGTAATACAACGTATGACAAGCGCGCGCTACTTCGTAGCACTTGCATGTTATGTGTCTAATAATATTGTTGTGGTTTTTAAAATAGCTAATCCATAATCACAGCGAATCATTAATTCGTTGTCTTTGGCCAATATAATGCCGTCAGTACATGACAAGCCTTTAACACCAAGTGAAATTTTGTTAGAGACAGACTAGAGGTGCGAGAATGGAGAAAGAAATATAATAGATAGTCTTGTCATTGTCATACGTTGTATGACCCGCCACGCACGAGTGGCGAGTGCGCGGCTCCCCTGTATCGTAGAAACTCTTACCTGGGGACCTCAGGCTATTATGTCCATAAAGATAATAGAGATAGAGATTAGGCGGAATGACAGGCTGAGCGCGGCCCAGTAAAGAAACTTTAGGGAGTCACCACGTGATACAATCTTGTCATACGTTGTATGACCCGCCGCGCACGAGTGCGCGGCTTCATCTGTATCGTAAGAACGATAAAGTGAAACGACCGTGGGGGTCACAACGTGATACAAAGTTAGTCTAGATCGGAACTTGGAGTCACAAGCCCAAGGGTGATTTTCATTTTATGTTGATGTGATTTTTTTAAAATTATTTCATATATGGTCATTGTGATATGATGTGTATATTGTTTGAATACTTTATAAGAAAAAATTTTGTAAACGAATGCCGAGGTTTTCAATTTTGCATCTTGTTTCAAAATTTCCGTTATATTCTGAATTTCCGTTACATAGAATTTAGGACGACTGTTTTTAGACGCGGCGATGATGTTTATGTAACTATCTTTGATTTGATATTTAACATGACTTACAACATCTAACCTACATCGATTTAATTGAGCAAAACATAAGCTGTAAAAGGATTCAAAACCTTAACTGTGCCTTTCACCATTTTTGTGGTGTGTTGGTAGCTTGAAGGAACTTGTTATCGGAATGTTGCATGTTCCAGACCTGTTTGCACCATCAATCCTAAGGTTGTGCGAAAGAATTCTCTGCAATCTCCTGCTAACGACTCAGCCTATTGATTGAGAAATCTGTGATTGAGAGTTAAATGTGGAGGGAGCTTGTCAAAAGATCTAGAATCTTTTAAGGTTACCCTTCAGGTTATCCTTCAGTGTCTAGTGACTTTCAAGTGTCGACACCACAATCCGATTTTAACTTAAATATTTTCCATTAGAATGGGAGATCTTGATAGTATTTACTTGCAAGGGTTGGCATATTTACACAGCAGTGATCCAACATCAACAAACAAGCTGGTTACCTTGTGTGAGGAGATCATTGCTAGTTCAGAGTGGGCTGGTGTTACAATTTCTGAGTCTGGAGACTTGTCTAGTCTGGTAAACATTTTATTATGACTGTTTTTAGCATTTTCTTTCTGAGTGAAAGTAGATTTATGCAGAATCAGATGTGTCGCCTCAAATCCAGTTTGTTCTGTGAAATGGCCACAATACAACAGTCTGATAAGTGTAAAATTTTTGATGAATGATGAATGACGAGTTTGGTTCCCTGCCTGAAATCGAAATATCAGGTATCAAAGTTACAAAAGGATGTGAGGGCAGAACCCAAGCTTTTGAACAAAAGGTTACGTGATGATGGAGATGAAGAATCTTTTCCCTCCAAGGTTAGAGAATGGTTTGCATGGTGTACCATGCACATAGTAATGTTTACTCAAAACAGGCATTTTGGTCAATGGACCAGATTCTAACCAGATTCGCCTTATATACTAATGCTATGGATATTGCTACTATGCCATGTGAAATGCTCCTATTCCTTAAATAAATTATCATTGGTTCCATTTTCAGGCTAAGAAAGGAGTGATAATGAGTCCGCTGTTCACAAATTCTTTAAGTTCAGCCAAGTCAAACCGTCTTAATCTTCTCAAAAAAGATGTGAAGAAAGCTAAGAAATGACTGTAGCAAAGAGGGCTACATGCTTTATATTGAATGTTAAGCACATCAGCTTGTTTTAAAGTTTAAAGTCTATTTGTCATGAAGATCTTGACACTGAACTGGTACGGTGTGAGCATAACGATTACCTTCGCAATTGAGATGTCCAAAAACTTGTCAGATGTAACAAGTTTAAGTGATTTAATCTTTTCAGAGGAGAAAGTTTTGGTGCTCTGAAATTTCCGATTTTTATTTCCAGACATTTTTAAACAAATTTTTCAGACTTGCTTGGACCTGTTTCAAATTGAATTACATTATTTCTATTTACATTTTAATCTTATTATTTATCTTTTATTAATCCATGAATATCCTATTGTTTTCCTCGTCATATATCTAACCAAGTTAAACTTGCTGCTTGCCTAGCCCTACCAATTCAGTTGAACTTTATATTACAGTTTTTCCACTAATACAACAATGTATATTACCTTAATGACAATATACAATATGGAAAATACATATTTTGTCTTTAAGACTTTATATAACTCCCTTATCATCTCTAGCTCTACATGGTGAGAGAAATGAAAGTGTTGTGTTTGTTGTCTCTGCTGGTTGGAGTTGCACAATGTTTTGAGGACTATGAACATGTAGAGGACTCATGCAATGCTATAGCTCGATACATGTCCCGTAAATCAGGGACATACGACCAGATGTTTTCCAAAGAGCCTGGTAAGTAGATCTCTTATTTACGATAAATAATAATTTTTGCATGATTATCAAATATTCAAATATTTACATTGGGTATCCCTTGGCACTGCAACTTATAACCTAAAACTGTGGCACCCAATTAGCAACAAAAAAGTGCTGAATTGTGTACTTCTTTGTATTGTAATGTAACTTTGACAATGACCAACCTTATAATGAAACTTTATCTGCAGAGGAACCGTTAGAATATTGTGGATCTGGGACCACGTGTTGCACAAGAGAAATTGAGGAGAATTTCTACAATGATACGGCTATCATAGTCCCCAGGATCAGCTTCATGAAGGATCCTTATGTTAGGAGGCTGACCAATGGACGTGACCACCTAGGTTTGTTCAGTACTCTAGTGCGTCTATAGACGTATTAACAGTTCCAAGTCCTTTTTTGGTTCGATAAATACCCCAAATATTGTCATTTACTTACTGATTGGATGAGAGGACAATAAGTTTGATTTTGCCCCTTTTTATAAATTGGGAAACTAGTTATTTTATCTCAATTCAATATAAACAAACTCTCAGTTGACTACATGACCCAAGTGCTCACGATGGCATCTCGTTACAATCAGCGAACCGGGAAACTTGTAGCTACCTTTATGGAGATGTCAAAGTACAAGATCCAGACTATTGACGTTATGCAGTATCCCGTGTTTACTCTGCTGGATATCGCCCAATCTCATGGAGTCAACAAACTCCTGGTATGTGAAATATGTATTATAGGGACACGTGATGGGTCTTTCGTTGGCAACTTATAATCAATTTAGGTAGCTGACGTCACCTTGCCAAACACTGTTTCTTAGTGCGAGCTGTTTGCTAAGTAAAGTGGGGTGATTCACGAAATCTAGATTTAACCTATTGTGATATCCAGCCTCCAGGGTTCGAATCCCAGTGTCTCCTAGTCTAGGGAGTAGCTAAGGATCCATTGGATCTATTCAATCTCCTCGGTCGACTCAGCCGAATGATAGGAAACTTGATTGAGGGTTAAATGAGGAGGGGTACCTGTTAAAAGTTCAGGAAACTTCCTAGCATACCCCTTCAGTACATACTGTAAACATAGAACTATTACTATTACTATATCCCAGACATTTTTGTTGATCAAATATTCAACCTGGTGTTAGTGAAAATTACTGGACTAGCTAGTCAATATGGTGGTTAAGTAGGTCGTCCAGCCAAATGAGAAAGGGAACTAAGTTGTCTCAATTTTTTAGAAACTTGGCAATGGCTCCCTCTCTTATCCAATCTACTCCATTTTAAATTTAGCACCACTGACTTTGGACTAATACATTGACATGGGTCCGATGTTATACATATTTATGTACGCCAAGGAATTGTCCTGTTTTTCTGAGCCTCACATTTTCGAGATTCTAATAATCCCTCCTTCAAGTTAACACCTAACATTTTTCAGAATAGCACAAACTGTATAGCGGAGATGCGAGATTTTCTACACCCTCTTGCTGCCATGCAGATAGATGCTCTGAAGATCGCAAGGTTGTTATACAAGGTAAGTACTTTGTTTATTTCCAGTTTAATCTTAACAATAAGGTATAATTAACCTTCAAAAGAAGATCCAGAGGACCCCTAGATAGTAGATACAATAGTAGACGTATTGAATACCTCTTCCTGGATTCGCTATTGGGAGAACTATTGTTGGATATTTCATGGGCCTGATAACTTTCGGTTGTGGATTTTTTTCAATGCTTGAATGATCGAGCGATGGTATACAGGATAGTGACGATATACCAGGCCAGGGTAGCTCACTTGCGTTCGTAGTGTGTATAAGTTATAAGTTACAAATTACTCCTTTGTAATAGGTGCGTCACAGGTACAGTGCAGTGTGTCCACAAGAATGGCTTATAATTGATGTATCCATTCAATTCAGTCTCAATTATAAAATTCGATTCAAAACATCGATTTAAGTGCTGAACTTTAAAAAAGCTTTCAGACTCTTTTAATCTAATAAGTCGCCGTCAAAGTGAAACCGTAAGGATGTCTCGAAACACAACGTAATTTTATAAGATTCAGGCATATTTGTGATTGGTATTGTTGCTATAACATTCAACCACAGCAACAATATTTTCAAACCATTGCCGCCTAGTGCCTCACCTTACGGTTAGAGCATTAATGTTTTGTACACAGAGCCAGACTCCAGAGTAGCTTGATTGATGATCTGAACGCTGTTGTTCAGTGTTTTATACCAGCACATCTTTTATACCATTTACAAGCACCGCCGTTAACATAGAGCACTGTGGATTAAAAACATTTGACGGTAAATTTAAGAGTGGCTCAAATATCAGATGTAGTGTAATGTATTGATTATCAAGCTATAATCATGTACACTGTTTTAATTTGTGTGTCAATTATATATCATGATATTATTTACAACAAAGTACAGACAGTGTACTCGTAGTGGTAGGCGGGTTTAATTGTAGTTCAAAGAATAAGTACAAAGGATTAGTACAGTGACACGTGCTCAATGATATGTCCGTACTGCTGACGAATATTCAAATTGCACTGCTGAGCAGAGACCATTATCACGCGATTCTTCTTGCCGTGGTTGTGGAGTGTACTGCTGCGTGAAGCTCTAGCAAAGACTACTGGACAGTTGAGCTAACGCACGTCACTGGCTCACTATGATCTACTATCGGTGTTTTGGTATAGTAATGGCTGATCTAGTGAAGGAACGATGGATTATATTACTGTATATCTTTGTTGTTGACTCACGTTCTGAATGAGTCAGCGATTTAATTTCATCTTCTGTGTACAACAGGATTAGGTGTACGTTAAGTTTGGTGAATATAAGGGTGTAATATGTCCAATCGTCCTGGGTGGCCAAACACAGCAGCTTTGGTGGCTCTATGTGAACTGTGGGAGGTTTACTGTTGTGGTATTTGGATCGTTGCCAAGGCCCCAGGGTGATTCACAATGAACATGCAGCTCGTGGTGGTATTTCTGGTATTTTGGAACCATGTGCTAGTTTAACGTTCTAATGTAGCTAGAAATAGACCCGAAACTCCTGCAACATTCTTATGTCGGAATTTGACAGGTATTTAAAAACTGATTTACAGTTGGACTGGTTCCAGCTTGGACTGCATCTTATCTTAGCACTCAAAAATTGCTGTATTTTCAGCTAACTCTCCTGATGCGCCCAACCATTAAATATTATTTAACCATTAAAACTAATTAAATTAATAAAATGAGGGTTAAATGAGGAGGGGTACCTGTTAAAAGTTCAAGAAACTTCCTAGGATACCCCTTCAGTGCATACTGTAAACATAGTACTATTAACTATTAACTATTAAATCTTGTTTCATTTCAGTCTATCCCTGTTGGAATAGAGGTTCTGACCGAGATGAAGAACCAGGCAGTATCACAGAGTTGTATCGAACAACTGGTCAAGTCTCAGAAATGCAGCGAGTGTCGGGACTCTACCGATGTGAGTACCATTTATAACTGTGAATATCATTATCTCGATTAAAGTCTTCTCATTTACAGACAATAGAACATTCTGTCTGTTGCCGGTTTAGCAGTTTCCAGCGATGTTAAATTCTTATCTACTAAAGTATGTTTTAGATAAAACCAATTAAAATTCAAGGTTACTGCGCTGCACTGTAATTGAATTGTGCTAAAAAACTGCGTTTCTGCCACTTTTAGGCATTTTATCTCGTGTACAGAATATGTGAAAAAGGTCCTTTAAATTTTGCGCGGTGATCTGAATGTGGAATGTAATTACCCTATCAGTACACGAGTTGTAGAGTTAGTCTCGAGATACACAGGTGTTTAGTAAATTATCCTACCACTTGCACTCCACCAGTGGTAGTACCACTTTACTAATGACCATGTAAAGTGGTACTTTATATAACCCTCATCAGTGTAATAAACAGGCTTCTATTGATAAATGATACACTGTGGAGGATGATTGATATTTTGAAGTACATATTATATTACATAAGTGTAACTGATAACCAGTAACCACCTTGTAGTGTCCACTATCAGTATGGTAGATAGAGCTGTAATGATATATTGTAAGAGGGAGGAGTAAGGTTGATAATATCTTCAGGTTCCGTGTAAGTTTTACACACTTCTGGTTGGTCCTTGTTGCCCAAGTCTGTCAGATAAGAGGTAATTGGTTAAACTTAGCAAGTTTAACATCATGTTACCTTATTGGCTTATTGGATGCATCAGTGAGGTAAATGTCTTAAGAAAGGTTAATGAAGATTAATTTACCGTTTGGGTAGATGGCGCTATGGTTGGTTGGTAGTAACTGCTTTGTAAGCCGTGTACTTGTCTACCCGTACGGGATATGGTCTGTGTGAGGTTCAGTCTCGTGTAATATGTATTTCCTATATTATTATAACAATAAAATGTGAGTTATGTATTCTTCTACAGTTCAAAAACGTACGCCACTCTTGTCACTTGTACAATGTGTCAAATTGTCCACATATTGGCGAACCAATACAAATGGCTCCAATCTACTAAATGTATAATGTGACTCGGTAGACTATTGTGGACGACAGCTGCCGTTCTTTATTGCTTACTGTGCGGTTAAATTGGGATATTCTAATCCATTTAATATGTAATACATCATTGGAGTTGTTGGGAACCATATTCAGTTCTAGATCTGCCTCACTGAGATCACAATATCATAAGTTTAAAGTTTAATAATGGGAAATGGGAATGTCAACAAAGGTAAAGTCTAACTCCGTAACAGTACAGTATAGTATTAATTGTCAATAAGACCACTATCTGCATCATTGAGAAGATATTCGCCTAATAGCAATTTTATTGCCCAAAAGTGGTGCAAGTTGAGTTGGTATTACAGATCTCAGAATACCCCATTACTCCTGGTCCATCACGGCTATTCTGTTTTATTAACCCAGTAAGGGTTCGCAAAATTACAGCTTCAATACTCAATAGTCAATAGTCAACATCCGTGCTGATTGCCCACTGCAACTGTTCAAGTCTGACCAGTGTCACGAAGGTGTGCCGGCTCATCTATCTTTCAACTAATATCCACATTCCACATCAATCTCAGTCTTTATAAGGTTTTTCATCTGACTTCACAGAATCAGTAATTTTCTCTCCCACTTTGGCACACGCCACACCCAGAGTGAAGCTGTGGGGAGATTGTGAGACATCAGCAAGTATGGGTATTAGACCGTAGACGAGGTGTGGTGTTTTAATATACTAATTACAACACTACAAATCTATTACATTTATTTAATATACCCTAGATATACCCTGACTAGGGAGTATATGAAGGGAGACTGTCCTTCAGACTACTATAGAGTAGATCTACAAGTAGAGTAGATCTACAAGTAGAGTTGAACTACACGTTGAGACTGTGCTAGTACTAGTAAGATGTTGTGTTTCCAGGGCTTCATAAAATGTGGTTTGATCAGTAAGGTGGAAAGGTGTGCAGTTGATTTTAGCACGGCCCACAGTTTTTAGATGTAATCTGAACAATAATTCTATATATAGCTCTAGCAGCAGGTTTTGAGGTTTTGTGATATCAGAGAAAATTCAGATTCTTTCGCAACAGTTACTTAATACTAATATTATAGTACAAATCTCGACTTGATACTAAAGGACCCAGAATTGACTACCCACACGCAACCCTTAAATAACTCACGTATTTGATGTTCAGTTCAGGGAAGTAACGATTGTATTCACTTAAATGATCAGATCGTCATCTTTCTATCACGCTCGGTACATCCTGATGAGGCGACTAGCTCCTGATAATATCACCTTCCCGACAGCTCTTCAAACTTTAAACAATCAACTTGAAATTTATGCACAAGTTTTAACAATTATCTAATCAAAGGCATCCTCAAAATTTTGAGCTAACTCAATTCTCAAAGTGGTCTCATTTTATGACGAAAATAGTCAAAAAGAGGGAATGGCAGGCCGAAATTTTACGAAACTGTCAGGTAATCTAAGTTCGACCCATATCTGTAACCTCTAAAACTTTTGTCCAATTCTTATACGAATTCATGGGTTGCGTGTGGGTAAAAGTTCCACTCTATTTAAACAGGCCAATCTTTTTCTCCCTCTCAACCCGACCCGCTATGTATGAGGGTTCTTTCACTGCATCCTCCAAGTCCTCAGTTCGACTATGTGTATAATATTGGGCTGCATATTATTCATCTCAGAGCTGGCATTCAGGGATCTATCTTACATAATTACTAGTACAGATAAGAGAGCGGCTCATTACATGCAGAAGCTACACACGGGTCATGATCATGTGTATCATGTTGTACAACGCTTATCATGCCAATATAACCATTTCTGACGAGGTATAATGATCATTCTCAGCTGTTATTACCACACTCTAGGCTAGTTAAAAGCATTTTAATTTATAATGTACCCTTATAATAGAATTGTGGTAAATCTTCTGATATTTCTTTAAAACTTGTAACTCGTCCGTGTAGATTTCAGCTTAGGACACATCTTAGGACACATCTTTCAGCTTAGGACACATCTTTATATTAGTATATATTATATTATTTTAAGACATTATGTTTTATTATTCCGCTTTTTTATCTTCCTTTTTTATGCTTGACAGAAAGAGTACTGAGCAAATGGGCGAATTTACCTTCACACTATCATCTAATCAGTTGCAGTAGTATGTATGTTACATGTGCAATATCTTTATTTCTTAAGTTCACAGTATATTCCACTACCATGATTGCCAGAAGCATTTTCACAGTCACAAACACAACATTGTGCCATGTTAATTGTTAAATTATTCCTCGTGCATGATAACAGATGATAAGAGTCTACCAAGATAATACAGACCAGTAAAGTATGTGCCAGTCATTGTTAGAAAGAATAGTCGTCACATATCACAGAATCGTGTACTGGAAATTACAGGAGATTGTAAAGCAATGTGTGTGGCACATAGGACAGCGTCAATTTGAGAAACAGCGTCAATTTGAGAAACACACACATTTCATATGGATCCTATTTACTTATTTCATCATTTATTAAATGGAATACGTTTAATCTATGAATAGATTTTAATGTGTAGTGTTAGTTTATACAACACATCAATTCATTGCATAATTATTAAAAATTCTCACTAATTTAAAGATAATTTAAAATGATTTAGAAAACCAAGCAGCACATTAAACTGTAATAAAGATCTCACGATCCTATATGATCTCACAGTGATACGTCACGTGACTCACTACACATGCGTCACAAGCACACACCGGTGTAGTAAATGTGTAATGTGTATGTCAAATTACAGTGCTCTCTCCATTTAAACACACACGAGACCAGTGATATGATAATATCTTTTGTACTTTTGTCATATTACTCCTCGGATAATAAGTTGTTTAAAAGGTTAATTAGGTTCAACTTAATTACCCTAGTTAGGTTCAACTCAACTAACCAGATTATTTAATTAAAGGTATCTTGCTATCTTTTAAACAAGTAGCTATGTGCCGCTAACTCTTATTCTATTTAAAGAGCATGACTCGGAGCACAACTTGCCTATTTAGGGATAAACAGGGTTTTCAGAAGTCGGACTTCTTTAATAACATCACCCCACCTGGTATGTGTTATGAGATAACAGCTTCATGTACGTTATGTCACGTGGGCGCGTCATTTTCCAACTAAATACCACCGGATTGTATGTCAAGATACGGGGTGTAAGGGAGTTGTTGCAGGTCTTCTCTACTATCCTCTCACTCGAAAAACAACCTAGTATGGTGCCCTTGATGTACATATTTTGGTGAAATGTGGTGTAATCCCGATTCCCGATCATGGGGTGTTACATCAGGGCCATTAGTAGATTGAGTAGAATAGTGAGTAGAATATTTGGTTTTCACGAGGTTGAAAAAGCGGGGCATTGATGATTTCATGTTCTATTCATGTCATTGACGTACATCAAGCCTATGAAAAAGATCCTAAGTTAAGGTCATTAAAATGATCTCAGATTAAGAATTCTTTAAACGGAGTGATTCTATCTGGTCAGGTTGTGGACAACAATCTGTAAAACATGAGATCTTGCTTGAGAATGTAACGTCAGACACCGACTTCATTGTTCATTCATCATCGAAATGTGTCTAACACATTGAATAGTTCAGTTGAGTGTTTAAAACATTTTAGGATTGTGAAAGTTCTCGATTCTTAAACACTGTGATTATCTAGCTCGGGTAATATGTTGCACGCCGTTTAAACAGGGACAAATCAAACAAAATGTCAATTTCCACCCTCCCAAGTTCCAACTATCAACTTACTTTGTCTCTCTGACACATCATGTACAGAGTACAAGTTCTAAATATCAGATTCTGACAATCCTTATCATATGGGTATGATATTTGACATTTAAAGTGTCAAATGTTGCAATATACTCAGTCACCATCCTGACACAGTATAAGTGCACTAGTTGCAGCAATACTCTGACATGTTCCAGACTTGAAGATGATCAAATCAACACCCTGTCCCTTGAGTAGGAGGGTCTGGGATACTGCGTCTAGATACACCTATCAAATATCATCACTCCCTCTTTCTATTTTCCCTCCCTTTCTTGCCTGTCTCTCTCACTCCCCTCTCTCCCCCTCTTTCTCAGTCCTCCTTATAAAATATCTCTCTTATTGGACCGCCTCCATATTTAATTTATTTAACTCCAAACGACTTATGAGCTGTTATTATCCTCTCTAGTTTAAGCTGGTGGGGTGTAGGTTTAAAACACATTAAGGAGGATTTAGGAGGGATTGACGGTAAATGAGGAGCGATAAACAGAGTGAGAGGTGTAACGTGAGGTGGGGAGGCGGTGATGAAATGTGATACACACACGCGTCCTCTCAGATAAGGATTCTGTTCACCACATCTTGTGTTATCAACACTCCTCCCCTGTCAACTCTCATATATCGGCACTTGTTTTAAATTGGAAACTGTATGAGATATGAGGTGTCTGAAAAGTAAAGGGTGAGGCTGGCTATCAGCCAAATATTTCACGCCCAGGTCTTGACAAATTTGATCTAGATAGCAGATGTGTCATTCCTTGTAGAGATGTACTTATTTTATACTCTGCTGTGTCCAGTATAATCGCAAGACGTCATCATGAATATTTTAACAATCTTCTAATCCTCAATTTTACAATCAATAATTTCTTATCTAAGATAAGAAATGCACATGTTTAAATTCAAAGATTAAGAAGTTACATAGCCTAGCGGGTAGCCTGTCTCATTTTAAACCAACTATCAAGGTATTTCTGTCTCGTACAGTGACTGTACCAGGTGAATATGTCAAAGTTAATGAGGTGTTTCCTACTTGGGTTAACCCAATGACAAAATTAATTTAAACCCAACAAACGCAAAAGAGACAGCAAGGAGTATAATACTGAAAGGCTGGCTGTAGTCTAATTGTGTTCACTGATATTTCATCCGGGGTGCTTAGAAGATCTAGGAGTTAAGATTCCGGTGTAGGAATATCGTCTGCTAATAATATTGTCATCTGCTATTCATGAGTCATGAGTTATTTTCTCACCAAATTTGAAATAAGTTCAATTTTATTGGGAAATAAGGAGCTTGATCATTCATGAAAACTTCTCACGCCCCAACGTTTTGAACTTTGAAAATATTTCTGCTCTGTATCTAATCGATCTAAAATTGCAGCAACTTAATTCTGCAATGCAACTTGACCTTGTGTTTTCTCCCACTTTTGTGTCAAAATACCGCCCTTTCGATGCAAATGATTTTGCCTTTTCGGCAAATAAAGCGATTTGCGACACGACAAAATCATTTCATAGATTTAAATATTCAAACATGTGCGTAAATACTGGTGAGAAGGAACACATTCCTGGTGATCTGTTGGAATGCAAATAATTACAAAAGTGTTGGTACATACCTACTACATATAATGCTTTTGGACACGAAGGGAAACACACACGTATCGTAAGGCTTGAAATCTTCGTAAAACTACATCATTAGAGCCAGGTACAAACATTTAACTTTAAGATTTAAAGCACTCAATCAAGTAAAATTCATATGTATGAAACGATGTAACAGAGTCGATATATTTTAATGTTGCCATGGGGTGGCAAGTCACCATGCATCGTAGTCTGGTAGTTTCATTGCGTCTTAATATATAATCATCATAGTTTATTAACTCAAACGTAAAAATTGTAACAAATGCAAAATTTAATCAGTCAAAATTCGTAGCATGTAAGTAATAATGGATGGGGTACAACTCCATTCGGAAAATTATAGTATAATATGAAACAAACTAAACACTTTAGTAAAGCTGATAAGCAGTGACTAAAACTACAAACAAAAATGCACTAATCGGTCTTAAAAGTGCTGTGTCCCATTACTGTAAATTGATAACGCTAAGAAGCATTAAAGTAGTGACGATAAAGTAGTGACGATAACACTAAAAGCATAATATTAACCCTTCTACATACCAGCTTTATCTTCCTACCTACTACCTAGTTTGAAACAAAATGTATTGTTCAATAAGTCTTGTTTATGTAATATCCTATTGAGGCTCATGCCACCCTATCGCGGGGTTACTGCTACTCAATACCCTTACAATATACATTCACTCTAATTCAATGTTAATACTTACCATACCGTTCCTATTTTGATTCTATATGTTCCGCAACTGGTAACCTCATTACATGCCACCTGTTAAATTATATTTAGATATATATCAGTTAATTGTTCTCTTTTCTCTAAATCGATATAATTCCAAGCTGACTTGAACACCCCATTTAAGCGACATAATATGACCTACAGTTCATCTTACAAACAGAACACCTGGCCCCTCAATACATACAGAGTTTACTTAGCGATCAGGTGAGTGTAGCTGCTACACTGCAGGGCGGAAAAGTGCACTCATTGGTACATTACTCAATTACAAGCTAACTGGACACGTGTATTTAGACATGCTATATCCTGCATATTATTCTGTCAGTACTGGCTGAGCGGTTGGGTGGACCTATCTAGAGAGAGAGAGAGAGAGAGAGAGAGAGAGAGAGAGAGAGAGAGAGAGAGAGAGTTATCAAGGAGGCAGGATTCACTGTATGGTGCATGGTGAATCATGAAATTTTTGGATGATTTGTACATTCGTTATTTGGTAACCAGGCTCTGAGTTACTGACCTGGCAACAATTATTGAGTAGCCAAATTGTCGGCCATATTTTGAGTGTTCTCCTTCAAGGTACATGAAATGTGAGTTTTGACTTTTGACATGTGATTCTCGAGAGGTGTTCTGATTCCGTCGATTGCTAATTACATTTCTAGTTCTACAAGCTTCTATCTGCTAAGTTATCGCATCAACCGTTATGTCATCCGAGTAAAAACCTTTAACGGATTCACCGCTTACGTCATGACGCACGCCTTGTTTGACTTTGTGGAACGCGCGATGATCTCAAAAACAGTCCAGTCAACTTGGCAAATTTATATTATAGTGCGCGCGCAAATATTTACGTTCGTTCGTTCGTGACTGACGTGCGCGTTAATATAGTACTGCATTGAATGTCATGCGATGTCAGCGTATAATATGTATCGTGATTTGATTCCAATTGGTGCATGTGCTTCAATAAAAGGTAATATTAAACGATCACCTCATTTTAATGATAATGACAAACATTACAATTAATGAAAGAGTATACACTTTACGAGAGTATACTCTGCCAAGAAGCACTAGCCAAAGCCTTGCGGCTTGCACATCAAATAACAATTATATTTACCAATGAAAGTAATATAATGCCGCGCCCAGTTCATTAAAAAAGTCTCTTTTATTCACCAAAACGGTCTTTAGTTGTCGCTATTATTCAACTCAATTCTGACAGGATTCTTCTTTGTTCAGGTCAAACCATGCCGTTCGTACTGTATGGCAATTACGAGTCAGTGTTTCTCACATCTGACAGCAGTAGCGGAAGATTGGGAGAAGTTTGCTTCATTGACAGACGGAGCCATGGATAAACTTGACAACTTCGCTAAAGTCTACGAAGAAGCACTTTCCACTTCGATTCAGAAGATAGTGGAGAAGTTGAGGGACCCGCTAACTGCTGATATGGTAAGTTGATTAGCTCAAGCTACTTTTAATGCTGCTCAGCCTGCAAGTAAAGAATGATCTTAAGATATCTCGGGTGTAGCAGGCAGAGCAGAGTTTGATTATTATAACAATGTCTGCTATTCCACTGATTGTATTGACATGTAATTGAAGTGACTCACATCTGTTCAAACCCTAGTGTGGTTACGATGTATCTAAGAACCTGGCAGCGAAACACAAACGTGCTGCAGACGCTAGTGAAAGTAAAGCCAGGAAAGCTCTTTTCGATGGCTCCTTCATGTTAGGAATGCTGGAGAAACTGGACTCGATGCATTGTCAGAGATACAGCACTGAGGAGATAAAATGCTGGAACGGTTCAGATGTTGGGCTATTCACTGGCAGCAGGTATTATGTTGCAACATTAATATCTCTTAGAAATATTTAAATTTGACATTCTTCAGTTGCTGGCTATGCAAGCCATGCCATTGGTGGATTTGAGAATTGAGTCGGCACCACAAGTACCAATTCAATTCAGAATATATTTTGGGAGTACACCATTGAAGATACTTCTGCAATGTACATTACATTTTTAAAGTTCAAACAATTAACAAGCTATTCTTTATTCAGTTCCGATATTCAAGTCACAAACGACGCAACCGTTACCCCAAAGCTTGTTGCTGCACTTCTTAAAGTCACGAAATTCAACGAGTTTGTAAGTACATATCGATCGCTACAATTTACGGGTGTACACAATTTTAGTCCTAAATCTGCCTTTTAAATTATGTTTCAAGTCAAAAAGTTTGATAATAAATCTCTCTTAACACCAAACCTCTCTTTAGTTGAAGACGATAGAGAACATTGAGTTTAAGGGAGTCGAATACAATCTTGTTGCTCCCACGGATGCGCCAGTGTTTGTTTATAATAAAGACAAGAAATCTGCTGCTCTACAGACCGCAATACTTTCCATAGGACTATTTCTTGTATCATTACTACTTCACTGATACTAATTTCTACATAGGACTGATGAGACTTTTGATATTTTATGTCCGCTCAGATATTAGGCTCGTCCAACTCCAAGCACTAATCACCTCTGTAATGATTACCCCCAAAGTTTGTGCAACCCACCGATATATCAGTTTCAACCAGAAGTGCCTTCCTAGCCCAGAGTTGTGAATACTTGTGAGCTTCTCGACTATCAAGAGCTGCATTTGTTTTCTGGCCCTAGGTTTTTTGTTCGAGTTATGCCAGAAAAGTTTCAACCGCCTTTAACTTCTGCTATTTACTGCCTTAGATTATGGCTAAAAGTTCTAGCCAGTTCAACAAAATACAAGTTAGTTCAAGTTAGGCCGTAAACATTAATGTCCAGAAAACTTAGGGCCGATAATGATTCTAATACCCAATTTTGCTGGTCAGAGTGGTTGCTCTATGTATCAAGATCGAATTGTTTTTATTGTGCTAAGCTGTAAAACTGTCTCTCAGTAATAGCTCAAAATCTTTTACTGTAACAGATCACAGTGAATGGTATAGTAACAGTGGGCTGTATTTTATTTTTTCATCATTTGTTAGAATTATAAAGGAGCAACTGATTTCGAAGCATCTTTCAGCATGCAATACATCTTTACTCTTTAGTAATTTATTCTCCTATAAGATGCTTAGAACCAGGCTTGCCTCTTCAAAGCTGGTATCGTCTTCAGATTTACAGATAGTTATTTCCGTCTTTAGTAGTAAAACTGAGAGTTTCCCTTTAGAATGGTCAAATTATTTGATTTTTACCACATTGACTTAAATCAGGGGAAATTTTCAGGGTTCAGCTTGCTGGCTGTATTTGTGTTTATACATTGTTTACACGTAACAATATCAAAAGATTAGTATTTAAATGATATTTGTGAGCGGTCTGTAATTGTGCATGTTTACCTTTTCAAGGTTTGTTGATGTTGTTTTATAATATACTGATGGAATATAATTATGGAAATGATAAATTCTTGTAATTTTGGCACTAGGTGGTCTCTGTTGCCAATTTGATGAGTACCGTTTTAAATATTTGATTGTTATAGAAACGCCATCTTTTTGTGATTAATACCAGTCGTTTGACTTATCAAGAAAATACTAATTAAAAATTGAAACCAAAATAAATGAAGGTACATAATTTAATTTGATAAAGTTTAATTGTGTCTATCGTCTAGGTCTAAGAAACAAATAGATACGAATAAAATGTCAAAATAAATAATTCCGAAACTTTCGGATTGGTTCTTGAATCTTAACAGTCTACTTTTTCGATTGACTTTCCGCCAGGTGGGCATTCCATTGCCGCGCCAAGTTTTTCGTCTCAATATCTTTCTCCATCCACTGAGAGTACTGATGGACCTGAAATCAACCTAATCAGACCTTTAATATGTCCAAATGAAATCTTAATAACAGCAGTTATACATTAGGACTCGAAAGACAACTGGAATGAGCCCAATGGCGTATTTGCGTATAATTTAATTAAAGGTGAAAGCCATGATTAGTGATGTTGGAACATGGGTGCTTTTTCACATGATTAGGAAAGTAAGACATCAAACCTTCCTCCTGAAATCTTTTTTGGGTCTCATGTAGATGCCGACCTCTTTTTCCGGGCTAATTTCATGGTCATGGTAAACGTTCTTCACTACGGAACACCACTCGTTACTGGTATATGAAGAGCCGGGGAAAACATTGGATCTCAAAATCACCGACAAGCTCCGGAGATCGGTCTCTTCGCTTGATTCGGTGCAAGATTGGGCCTCTGGAGGGGTATTCGTGTCCATAGTGAAATGCAGAAGATATTGGCAGTAGAACAAACAACAATACGTACTCAATTTGAACTATGTGTCAGCGGAGAGTGCACAACGTGCACATCTGATGGAGAAGTCTTGTTGCCATGGTAACACTTATATCGTGGTTGTACAAATGTACATCGTTGTGATTGACTAGTTGATTAGATCTGATGGTCTAGTTAGAAGTTACCGTACATGAAGTTGAGTCAAACTGTTGTGGCCGATAGTTTAACATGTACACAAGTACAGTGTACACCTTGTCATCATTATGATATTATTATTAGTTTGCTCAGAGCATACACTGTACTGTGACCATTCGCTATACTTACTAGGCTGATGGTAGTCGGGTGGCGCGCACGAGCGATATGACTTTATCGCTAGGTTAACCGAGCGATAAGTCACAGTGCTGGCAAGCACGACCGGTGCATTTATTGTGGGTATACTATGTACCCCCTTTACTATTATACCCCCTTTACTATTATACCCCCTTTGGTACACGTTACAAGCCTCTTTCGTGCACGCGAAGCGTGCACTCCGGCCGGAGGCGGCGGCCGAAGGCCGCCGCCTCCGGCAGGAGTTTTTCAGGCATTAAGACTCATCGGAAGTCGTTCAGCAGATTTATTTTTAGTTTAAAACATTCTAATTTGATGTCAAAGATGACAGGAATAAGAAATAGTTATGTTGAGATTTTTAAGAAATTTGCATAAAATACTTGCCAGCACTGTTATACGAAATTCGGTAAAAAACCCAAAATCGCCAGATTCAGGTGCCTTAAAAACCATGTTAAAATCGAGTTAGAGATCTGAAATTTTTCAGGGCGTCTAGACGTTGACCAAATCGACTGCAAAAAAAGTTTCAGGTTTCAGGAACATCGGGAAGTGGGTTTTCTAGAACCCCTGTTTTACGACAGATTGTCGTGATATCTATCTATCACAGTGCTGGCAAGCACGAGCGGTGTCTTTATTGGGGGTATACTATGTACCCCCTTTACTATTGTACCCCCTTTACAATTATACCCCATTTACTATTATAACCCCTTTGGTACTCGTCGGAAGCCTCTTTCGTGCACGCGAAGCGTGCACTCCGGCCGGAGGCGGCGGCCGAAGGCCGCCGCCTCCGGCAGGAGTTTTTCAGGCATTAAGACTCATCGGAAGTCGTTCAGCAGATTTATTTTTAGTTCAAAACATTCTAATTTGATGTCAAAGATGACAGGAATAAAAAATCGTTATGTTGAGACTTTTAAGAAATTTGCATAAAATACTCGCCAGCACTGTTATACGAAATTCGGTAAAAAACCCAAAATCGCCATATTCAGGTGCCTTAAAAACTATGTTAAAATTGAGTTAGAGATCTGAAATTTTTCAGGGCGTCTAGACGTTGACCAAATCGACTGCAAAAAAAGTTTCAGGTTTCAGGAACATCGGGAAATTGGTTTTCTAGAACCCCTGTTTTACGATAGATTGTCGTGATATACCTTATCGGACATTATTTGGACGGACATTACTTGAACGCTGGAGGCCCTAGCGTTCATCTTAATGTCCGTTCAAATAAAGTCCGTTCAATTAATGTCCGTCCAAGTTAAAGTCCGTTGAAATTTTTTCAAAAATGTTTCCATTTCGAACTTTTTGTCCAGAATATGACAACTTTGAGAACTTTATTGTGCCGTAAGTTAACGACGGAAAGGTTCTCCTTGGTCTGCCGGAGGCACAGAAAACTTTACTAGTATATGATGTTTTCAAGGGTCACTTGGCGGAAAAAAGTCAACGAAATTATGGCACTCAACAACATAGTTCATGAGCTAGTCCCCGCCAACATGACAAACTTGTTCCAGCCTCTAGATATTACGGTAAATCGTGTTGCCAAGGACATTGTCCGACGTTGTTATAGTTCATATTACTGAGGGGAGGTTATGAAACAGTGCTAGGAAAGCTCCACGTGATGTTAAGGTTAACCTAAAGTTGTCTAAGATAAAACCACTTCACGCCGAATGGCTTGTAAAAGTTAACAATGAAATGCAGGACCGGGGTAGTTTGATAAAAAAGGTTTCCACAAAGCTAGAAATCACTGATGCTTGTTTAAGCATGGACTATTTCATGCACGAAAACCCATTTAATGAGGATGATATGTGATATTACTATTAGACACTGATCATGTACACATATTTTAACATTTTTACTGCTTAATGACTGCTTTTCTTACTTACTGTATAAAAAATGGATTAAAAAATCATTTCGGATTTTTGATGGTTTTGAATGCCTTCGAGCGTTCATATTAATGTCCGTTCACAATTATGTCCGTTCATGTAATGTCCGTCCAAATAAGGTCCGATAAGGTATGACGTATGTATCCACCTGGGAGGACTTCGCCGATTCGACGCGCCTCACAAACTTTACTGGGCCGCGCTCAGCCTATCATCCCGCCGAATCTCTATTCAATTTCATATGATTTGTATATCATATTAGATATTTATACAATAAAATATTAAAACCTTCTTAACGTATATGTTATTAACTTCCTTGTTTTACTTGTCCTTGTCTCTTCCAACCAGATATTTATCCAACTATCAGTATTACATTTCAATCATGAGTTATTGAGACTAATATTAAAAAACAGCGAACTACTCCGTTATGTGATATGTTATTAAATGTAACAAACAATCATGTTCGGGAGATGGTAAAAAACCTATCAGTTCACATTGACATAGGAATTTTTTTATAAATGCTATCTCGTGAAAGGTTTACGATAACGAAAGACAATGATAACCCTGGTCATTAGTAAGACCCTTAATCATATAACCATTATAATTCATACATCAACATGCCTATTATATATCTTAAAAGTTCTTCCTAGCTGTGACAATCTTCTAAAGATAAATTGGAAAAACGTGATCGGGTCATGGTCCATCTCGTGCGAAATTTCCTAATGACCAGGGTGTAATACATTTATTCAACAACTCCACTCGTGAGACTTGTCTGGATGCTTTTTCTAGAAAACCCTAAATTTGATGTTAAATTGAGCTACTATACTCAATTATTAGGACAAGCAGACTGTGATTGATTGACTAAATTATGTTTAGTCCCCCATATTATTACATTTACAACATGTTTATATCACTATCAGTTGAATAATATCTGCCGTGACTATGGCAATTCATTTTGATTTAGTCAGGAATTCTTGATAAGGTGTATTTTTATCTTTTGCTTTTAATTTATCCCAATCTAGATCAGTAATTGATATGTATTTTGTGGTCGATACGTTGTGTTTAATTTAAATTAGTGCCACCTAGGTTTCCGTTTATTCAATTTGCGATTGTATTACTTTCTACTTAGGTGTTAGGGGTAGTTCTCAATTCACATATTATGTGATCACTGAAGGGGGGGGGGGGGGGGGGGGGGTTTCTAGGTGGTAAGGAGTCGTTCACATATTACGTAATCATTTTTTGGAACATTTTTACCCCCCCCCCCCCCCCCCCCCCTTCCCCCCTCCGTAATCAGTTTTACACATAGCTATTGTGTCAAAATTACACTAGCGTAATCATTCGGAAACCCCCCCCCCCCTCAGCTGATTACGTAATATGTGACCGACCCCTAACGCTTGTATAACTTTACGGTAGCTATGTCAATGTGTAAAACAGAAAACTGATTACGAATTGGCCACAGAGAGATAACGTAAAACTTCTGTTTAATAATATTAATATTCCTGGAAACCCGTAGCACAATGACGACCCTGGAATATGATTACAGTAACGGAACTCTGCACTCCATTAAAAGTGATGTGATGAGATACACGTGGTCTGTGTATTTCTTAGTGATTCTCTGTTCATCTCTTGTCGGGGACACATTCATTCTGATTATATCCGTCAAGTACAGGGCCATCCGACTTGACAAGGTCCTCCTAGCTATCATCCAACACATTGCTGTATGTGACTTAATGATCTGTGTGGTATCCATACTTCCGAAGGTTACCTCCCTCATTGCTGATAGATGGTTGCTAGGCAACGTCCTGTGTACAGCGTGTTGTCTCGGTAGGTATTACTTGTATGGAGTCATCCTGTCTCTTGTTTGCGCTATGCCTTCGGTCCTGCTGCTTCTCCTCAAATACCCCCTCCAGTCGTCGACAGTTACGTTGAAGACCATACATCAGATTTGTGGAGCGTTTTGGTTGATAGCTTCGATCGGCCTAGTGACGACCCTGATCCTTGATTATGAATGGGAAATTTGCTTTTCATACAAAGGTTATGGTTGCGACTTTGTTTTGAGTAGAAATATTTGGCGTCGGATTAGGACGTTGACAACAGCCATATTTATCTCTATTCTAAACTGTATTGTTGTTACAACCACAATTCAAATGATAATCATGGCTAAAGAGATCGTTAGCAAGCGTGGAGAAAGTCTGAAGTGGAAAAGGGTCTTGCATCTCCTTCCTTCCATTTGCTGTTTACCAAATCATAGAATTACACATTTCCGAAGAAGAATTCAACCACCACTTATACAGACTAGCCGACTTTTTGCTGTTCCTTCAGATTGTGATCAATTTGCATGTGCTTACTTTGAAGAGCATTAGAAAGTTTTTCCGGACAAAGATGTACAACAGACATCGCAACAACCTTCGAACTGGGTGAGGCTGTAATGTTAACTGAAGTTTGAGTTATATAAGTAATTTGTGTTTAATTCATAAACGACTGGAAGAAGAATTAATAATTCTAATATATTTCTTCATTTCTTCTCAGGAATAAGAAGACTTAGGCAAATAAAAGGGACATCATGGCTGATACTATCACGACGACAATTTCAACTTAGGTTTAATAGATGTAGATTCTGGTGGGGAAGTGAGGCATATTGTTTTGACGCGTGACA